CGCATGGAAATACTGGCATACTTGAGTTGGAATCTTATACTTTACTGTTGATCAAGTATATGAAAGCGAGTTCCCTCTGGTCGATGTATAGCTCTACTTGTTCACTTTCTCTTGTTTGCTTCTCATTTCTATAACTTTGTTTTCCTTTCCTCCTTATATGGTTACTCACCATGGTTCACCTGTTATTTGCAATATGCGTTTGCGTATTTGTACTTTTTGAACGTCTACTTGCAATTGTACCATTCTAACTTGTCTGAAAAATGTTCTAATAAGAATTATTGAAACAAAAAAATTGGTAAAAAAAACTAGAGAATTAATCTTGCAAAATGAAGGTCATAAGAGTTCAGGAATCCAATAAACCCATTCATTTGATAACACAATATGGGTCTAAATGGGACGAGTTTAAAAGCATTCTGGGTAAACACTGGCACATGTTGCAACTTTGTTCCAATTTATCCAAGATTGTGGGGGCTACTAGCCCACAGCTAGTGGCAAGTCTGGCACAAAGTCTGAAAGATCATTTGGTTCGCTCAGAATATACCCCTAGCCCGCAAAAAACTTGGCTATCAGATTTTAGAAAAGTGAAAGGATTGTTTTCATGCGGGAGGTGTCAAATCTGTAGAGAAAAGCAAATACTTCTGGGACTCAGAGGGCAAAAAATAATTTAAGATAAATCAATTCATTAATTGTACGACAAGGAAAGTAGTCTACGAACCTGAGTACCCCTGCAAAAAATTATATGTGGGGAAAACGAAACGCCAACTGAGAATTCGGATTGGCGAACATTTAACGTGACATCAAAAACAAAGATAAGGTGTGCTCAATTGCCCAACATTTTGCACAATATCATGATAGCCAACTAAAGGGTCTAAAAGTCAAAGGAATCTATGTACTGAATCTGCCGGAGGGGAGATTTTGATATCATTTTAGAGCAGAAAAAGAAAATGTGGATTTATAGGTTAAATACACTGTTTCCACAAGGTTTAAATAATGAGTTTAATTTACAGGGGCTTATTTAGGAGTGGAATGTAATCCTATTGATTATCCTAGTCTGTATTTGAAAAAGCTGAATGCCACATCAAAACTAGTAAAATATGCTCTGTAAACTATGTATGTATGTTGTGATCGCTTATTTGTTGTAACGATAAAAAGCATCTGTGCATAAAGGAAGGGTTAAGAAGAGAGTCAATGGTAATGGTATCCCGTTTAAAATGGGCCAGTATCTCCTCCCCTCCCTACGTTCTGATGAAGCCCCAAAGGAGGCGGGGCAAAATGCGTAAACGTTTTCCAAACCAGCCGGACTCCAGGATTCATGGTCTAACAAACATAAAACGCTGAGTATTATGCCTTAAAGACCACTACTATGTGTCAGCGGCTCTGAAAAAAAGACAGGAGCGATCACTGGCTAAGTGACGACTATCGTAAGGTACTTTGTATACACCGAGAAGTCTATATGACTGAATTAAATCTATGCAACAATCTTTGAGGGCTAGTTCACACCAAGCGGGTTCTAGAAGCAGGGCAGTTACAGACCAGATCAAAACTGCGTCCAATGTATTCCAATGGTATTTTGGGCTCTAGTTCACGCCGCAGCGTTCAGTTCCAGAGTATGTAGAAAAATTGCAGCAAGCCCTATTTTACCTGCTCTGGAACGCATGCAAACTCATCAATAACGCATGCAACTGCCCTGGAACGCTCTGAAAGTCCATTTTAAACTTTTTAAAAAAACTTGCTTTTTACAACAACGGCCCGGAACGGATCAAAAACGGGGCAAAAAACACGTCATAACCCACTGCACTGCGTGTGCAAAAACACATGCAGATCTGGTCTGCATTTGGTGTGAACAAGCCCTAAACCAAGTGCAGTGCATGGAATTCGGAAAAGGCACCCCTAGGATGGAAGGTCCGTTGTGACCATACATGATAACCGGAATGCCGTGGAGAGTCTGAGTGGTGCATCCAATCCAACAAGAAAAACAGTAAGACACTGATTTTGTCCATATGCATCGATCATTACTTGGGAGAGCAGGCTGTGTAGATCTCACAAATAGCTGTGTCATCTGTCAGATTTGTTAATTTTTTCCATCTAAATTCCAAACAAATTTACAACATTGTTTTAACTTGCTGATGAAATTACTTTTCACTGATCTAGCAGCTGCTAGATACACTGTATTTTTTTGACATAAAGTCAAAGGGGCAAGATTGCTTTATGAAAATGGAACAAGTATTCATTAAGGAATTTTTTGTTTTTCCCCCTTTTTTGTGCACGACCTTCCCATATTGTAATTGGGAATTATTTACAGGAAAACTTTAAAATTAAATATATAAGCTGGGTCAAATCCCATTAAATATTATGATGTATATAAAATAATATAAAAAAGATAACGCATTGAAAAACAAATGGATATGCTCATCCAAATTTGTGACAACTTGAGCCCAGATGAAACTGACTGGAGTAATCACTTAATATGATATATTTATATATACAAAAGGAATTCATCATAAAAGATAATGTACTATATTGTAGAAGATAGGTTGCATCTATGAAAGAATATAGTGTTTTGCAAAATTAAAATTAGTGAGAATGAGAGGAATGCATGTGGGCTGTTCTAATGGTTTTAATGTGTGAGGTGATTGACAACACTGTCAACTTTTATAATGGAAGGTTTTTGGTGATGGTGCTGTGTTCATAATCATTTTTTTAAATATAATCTTTAATGAAGTAAGCCATTTTGCTAAATTTACATTTAATTGGTTGAATTATAACTTCTAACCATCTTCTTTCCTACAAAGGTGGTATTTTTTTCTGGCTATTGCACCCACCCACTGCCTGCTGTAAATCAGCAGAGGAGGGAACTGAAGGAGAAAGTTCTAGTTCAGGTCCTGCACTGCTGATTGACAGAAGGCAGTGGGTGGGTGCAATAGTCAGCCTGCTATTGGCTACTGCAATTGAAAATTGGCAATAGCAGGCTGGCTATTGCTCCCAGTTGCTGGATGGCAGGAAGCCGTAAGAGGGGGCATGGAGGAGCGGCAGAGACATGGGGAGGTGCAGCAGGGACGACCAGTGTGGACATGGTGAGGAGCAGCGGGGACGACCAGCGTGGACATGGGAAGTAGCAGAGGGCACAACCAGCGTGGACATGGGGAGGAGCAACGGGGACGACCAGCAGGGACATGGGGAGGAGCAGCAGGGACGACCAGCAGGGATGCTGGGGGGAGGAGAGGGGACAACCAGCGGAGACACAAGGAGGAGCAGCAGGGACACGGAGGAGCAGCAGAAACTACCAGTGGGAACACGGTGAAGCAGCAGAGCAGAAACGGAGGCACTGGGGGCGCAACGGGGGAATGCTCTGATAGGGGTCGCAGATTACATGCATCGGTTTCATCTGGAAATAGCGAGTAAACACCCCCAGAACCATAAGGCAGTATAGTCAGAGGTTGCCTATAGCAGCTAAAATGTCCTGTGTGTGTCTTTGAGAACACATGTTCTGCTGTGTGGTGGCCAGCTTCTAAGCCCAATGTGAGACAAGGCCTCAAGTACTCACAAATCCAGGCAGCTACTAAGAGTTTAAGGCAGCCAGAGGTGACCTAGTCACCGTAGGTAGGCAATGGAATGGAAACAGAGACTGGAATATCACTTGGCGCATTAGAAGCAGCAGTGGGATGGTGCTTCCTTTAGATGAATGGTGGAAATGAGAGCAACACTCCACCTAGTAGATGGCATCTACCTGGCTGGCCAAACCACCCAGTGAGCCTCAGAGATGGGGTCACAGCAGAGACTGTGCCATAGTTCTGGATGTAGAAAGTGCTCTGCAGCTAACTAACACAGTACATTAAGGTCCGCAAAGCACAACAATGCAGAACCCAGTGTCAAAAAGGTCACATTCCAGGCTAGTCTTACCATGTCCAGAGGCCTACTCACAGAGTGAGCCTTCAGAGACAGGGTCATACCTGAGGCTCTGGACCAAGAAAGCATTCAGCTGAGAACTTAACCACTACAATCAGGTTTGGACAGCAGTGCCCAGTGCCAAAGGTCACATTCCAGGCTAGTTCCACAATGTTATAATCCATTTTGGCTGGGTACAGCCTCCAGATGCTGGGGATATGCCAATTTGAATAATTGCTATGTAGAGACTAGGGCTCCAACTAACGATTATTTTCAAAATTAGTTGACCGATTATTTTTTTGATTAATCAGGATAAAAAAAATGTATTTACATAAATATTTAATTATTTAATGGACATATATTAATTCTGTCTACATAGCTCTCATCCCTGGCATATGTCACAGAAAGAATTTGTGCAGGAAGAAACACATTACCAAGCGGACTTCTCTCCTGGACTCCTTTCACTGGGCGCTTGAATGGCTGCACACTTGAATGCGTGTCCTGACGCGCAGATTTATGTGTGAGCCGATTGGCTAGAGATGACATCTCACCACGCTCAGCTCTTGCCTAGAGATGGTGTGAACCGGCCCTAAATGTGTTCGCTGCCTGGCCGCCACCACCCCCCACACTCTTCCCTGACTACCCCTGTCAGATTGTTGCCACTGACTCGACTGACTTCACACACACGGTACACATGCAACGCATAATACACACACTGTACACATACTGCCAATATGCTTAGTATGAATAGTTTGATGGCAAAAACAAATGTCATATGTTTCAAAGAGTAGCTTAACAAAGTACTGCAACTTTCAATATAATCATTTAATCCTTAATATAAATCCTAATATAAATCTAAAACAATCGCTAAAATCTTATATGTTTTAACATGTTAATGTAATTTAAAAAATAGCTTCCAGACTTTTTGTAGATGCAGCTGTCGTTAAAATAATACTTGGTAACTAGGACTAAATAGAGAGACGTGTGTAGCACAAGAGGTTATTATATATTACATCATACATTAAGGTCAGACACGTTAAACACTATGCACTATGAATTAAATGTCTAGGACAGCAAAACACTGAATCATAAAATGCCACTGACAGGCAGCATACCTGCAGTGTTTCCCGAGAAACATAGGCAATCTGTTGTTCAGAGAGGGGTCCAGTTACTGTGGAGTAGAAAAACAAAAAATTAAAGAACATTTAGATACTTTGGGACACTAACATAGGGTATGTCTAAACAATATACATATATACTGTAATTACCGTATTTGCCGGCGTACAAGACGGCCGGGCGTATAAGACGACCCCCCACTTTTTGTGTAAAAATATAGGTTTTGGGCTATACTCGTCGTATAAGACGAGTATAGCCCAAAACAATGTTTAAATGCATTTACTAACCTCCTTGGCGGTATTCCAGAGTGTGGCTCGAGGTTAATTTTCAGTACCATAAGCGGTAACCCCAAGCCACACTCGGGATTACAGTCTCTTACCTTGTCCAGGATCCCAGCAGCGTCCTCCATCTTCTGTCCTTCAGCTACTACTGCGCTGAGCCAATCACGGCAGGCTTTGTATTTACTGAATACAAAGCCTGTCGTGATTGGCTCAGCGCTGAGCTAATCACGGCAGGCTTTGTATTCAGTAAATACAGGCTTTGTATTAAAGAATACAAAGCCTGCCGTGATTGGCTCAGCGCGTTATACTGTATGTAGCCGAAGCTACATACAGTATACCGAAGTATACCCGGCGTATAAGACGACCCCCGATTTTCGGGCGATTTTTTTGGGACTCAAACCCCGTCTTATACGCCGGCAAATACGGTAAGTAAAACAGTTTTTTTCAATGTAAAAAAATATTTTAAAATGCAGCTATTTTAACACTATAGGTTTGGAAATTATGTATTGGGTATTGGTAATCATAGTAGTGTTCAGGTTTGCTTTTATTAATTACTTATTTACATAATGTATGTATTCATTTTTCTTCTAAAGGTGCCCATACACTGTGCGATTATCGTACGAGAATCGCGGGAAATCCCGCGATCGTACGATAATTGCAAAGTATATGGAAGGCGTGTGACTGTTTCTACTGTACGATCGCACGTCTCCCGTCGAACAAGCAGGCTGGAAAACCCGCCGAG